GGAAAATTCTTCAAAACATTGGCCTAAGCCAGGATTTTATTGCTAAGATTTCAAAAGCACAGGTAAGAAACCAAAAACAGACAAGAGGAACTATATTAAATTAAAAGGGAGGCCAGGCACGGTGGCTCAAGCTTGTAGTCCCAGTATTTTGGGAGGCCAAGACGAGAGGATTGCCTGAGTCCAGGGGTTCAAGTCCAGCCTGGGCAACTTGATGAGACCTCCTCTCTACAGTAAATCAAAAAAATTAGCCAGGTGTGGTGGCATACCTATAGTTTCAGCTACTTGGAAGACTGAGGCGGAAGGATTGCCTGAGGCCAGCAGGTCAAGGCTGCAGTGGCTGTGAGCATGCCACTGTACTCTAGCCTGGGTGACAAAATGAGACTTCAACTAAAACAAAATAATAATAATAAAAAATTAAAAAGGAAAGGAAAGGACAGCAAAGGAAACAACAGAGTGAAAAGATAGCTTGTAGAATGAGGAAAACCATTTGCAAACTATTATTCATCTGACAAGGAACTAATATCTAGATTATTCAAGGGACTCAAACACCTCAACAGGAAAACAAGCAAATAATCCCATTTAAAAGTGGGATTAAAATATCAGAATAGACATTTCTCAAAAGAAAATATTCCAGTGGCCAGTAGGTATAGGAAAGTGTTCAACATCACTAATCACCAGAAAAATGCAACTCAAAACCATAATGAGATATCAACTCACCCCAGTTAGAATGGCTATTATCAAAAAACAAAAAATAACAAATGCTGGCAGTAATACAGAAAAAAAGGAACACTGTTGGTGAGAAGGTAAATCAATACAGCCATTATGTAAAATAGACTGGAGATTTCTTAAAAAAATAAAAATAGAAATACCATAGAATCCAGCAATCTCACTTCTGGGTATTTATCCAAAGGAAAGGCAATCAGTGTTTTCTTTCCTTTACCCCCTGTTAATAAACTATTCACAATAACAAAGATAGAGAATCAATCTAAATGTCCATCAACAGACAAATGGATAAAGAAGATGTATATAGGCTGGGTGCGGTGGCTCACATCTATAATCCCAGCACTTTGGGAGGGGAAGCAATCCCGTTTTTTAAAAAAAATGTATTTAATGTATTTACATATATAATATATAAGGATACATATATTTATAGTGGTTATCATCAACACATAGACTTTGGGAAAATTTAAATTCTTTTTTGCTTATATGTATTTCTTTTTTTTCTTTCTTTTTTTTTTTTTTTTGAGTCTGTGTCTCACTCTGTCGCCCAGGCTGGGGTGCAGTGGTACTTTGATGGCTCAGTTGATCATTCTGCCTCAGGCTTCCAAATAGCTGGAACTACAGGTGCACACCACCATGCCCAGCTAATTTTTAAAATTTATTACAGAGTAGTGGTCTTGCCAAGTTGCCCAGGCTGGTCTCAAACCCCTGGGCTCAGGGAGTCCTCTCGCCTCTGCCTCCCAATGTACTGGGAAGGTGTGAGCCAACGAGCCCAGCATGCGATCCTTGTCTTGTTTTATGCAGCTGGACAATAGTATATAAACATTTTAATATCCTTTCCATTTGTAACATTGTTTTTATCTGTTATAACTCTATAAATACATATTTTAGTGACCACATAATATACTATTTGAGTCATCTCACTAAAACTTAGTCCCCATTTTTTGATAGGTTTCAGATTACACTTTTATATTATAATGCCATATTTTTATTCCTAGACCTTTTTATCTATTTCAGATTATTGCCTTAGATGAATTTTAGTATTTTATGTTAAAGTTTCTTGATAAATAATGCCAGTAATTGCCTTAGAAAACCAAAACCTGGCTAGGTGTGGTGGCTCATGCCTATAATCCCAGAACTTTGGGAGACCTAGGTGAGAAGATTGCCTGGGCCCATGGGTTCGAGACCAGACGGGGCAACATGGCAAGACCTCATCTCTACAATAAATCAAAAAAATTAGCTGGGCATGGTGGCGTGTACCTGTAGTTCCAGCTACTTGGAAGGCTGAGGCTGAATGATCAACTGAGCCCAGTAGGTCAAGGCTGCGGTGGCTGTGAGCATTCCACTACACTCCAGCTTGGGCGACAGAGTGAGACTCTGACTCAAAAAAAAAGAAAAAAGAAAACCAAAACCTTTATTTTTCACAAAATAAACAATTTTATTCAGGCCGTATGTATGCAGATTTGTTGCATGGGTATATTGTGTAGTGGTGAGGTTGGGCTTCTATTGAACCCATCATTTAAATAGTGAAGTGGTGCCCAGTAGGTAGTTTTATACCCCTTGGCCCCTCTCCCTCCTCCCTTGAGAAGTCCCCAGTGTCTGGGTTCCCTTCTTTGTCTGTGTTTATGCAGTGATCAACTACCACTTACAAGTAAGAACATGCCGCATTTGGTTTTCTGTTTCTGCATCAATTTGCTTAGGATAATGACTTCCCACTGCGTCTATGTTGCTGCGAGGGACATTAATTTATTCTTTTTTATGGCTGAGTGGTATTCCAAGGTGTATATGTACTACATTTTATTTATCCAGTCTGCCATTGATGGGCACCTAGGTTGGTTCCATGTCTTTGCTATTATGAATAGTGCTACGATAAACATGAATGCAGGTGCCTTTTTGGTATATTTATTTTCCTTTGGGTATATACCCAGTAGTGAAATTTCTGGGTCAAATAGTAATTCTATTTTTAGTTTGAGGAATCTCCAAACTGCTTTCCACAGGAGCTGAACTGGTTTATACTCCCATCAGTGGTGTGTAAGCATTCTCTTTTCTCTACAAACTCGCCAACATCTATTGTTTTTTGCCTTATTAATAATCATTTGTGGATTGCCTGAGCCCACGGGTTCGAGACCCGCCTGGGCAACTTGGTGAGACCTCATCTCTACAGTAAATCAAAAAATCAGCCAGGCGTGGTAGTGCATGCCTATAATTCCGGCTACTCGGAAGGCTGAGGCGGAAGGATCGCCAGAGCCCAGCAGGTCGAGGCTGCTGTGGCCGGGAGCGGCACTGCACTCCAGTCTGGGCGACAGAGTGAGACTCCAACTAAAAAAATAAAATAAAACAATAATAATAATCATTCTAACTAGTGTGAGATGGTATCTCAGTGTGGTTTTGATTTGCATTTCTCTGATGACTAGTGATATTGAGCATTTTTGCATATGTTTGTTGGCCTCTTGTGTGTCTTCTTTTGAAAAGTGTCTGTTTATGTACTTTTGCCCACTTGTTAATGGGGTTATTTAGGTTGTTTCTTGCTTATTGGTTTGAGTTTTTTATAGATTCTGGATATTAATGCTTTGTCAGATTCATAGTTTGCAAATATTTTCTCACATTCTGCAAGTTGTCTGTTTACTCTGTTGATAGTTCCTTGCTGCATAGCTGCATAGCTGCACAGGCCTTCTTTTTAGTTTAATTAGGCCCCTATTGTCAATTTTTGTTTTTGTTGCATTTGCTTTTGAGATTAGTCATAAATTATTTTTCTAGGCTGATGTCTAGAAGAGGGTATCTAGATTTTCTTCTGAGATTTTATAGTTTGAGGTCTGACATTTAAGTCTTTAATCCATTTTTAGTTAATTTTTGTATATGGTGAGAGATAGAGGACCAGCTTCATTCTTCTGCATATGCATAACCTTTATTTATCTTTATTTTTATTTATTTTTTGGAGTCAGGGTCTTACTTTGTCACCAAGGCTGGAGTGTAGTGGCACGATGACTATGGCTCACTGCAGCCTTGACCTCCTGGGCTCAGGTGATTCTCTGCCTCAGCCTCCTAAGTAGTTGGGACTGCAGGCACAAGCCACCTCACCCAGCTAATTTTTTGATTTTACATAGAGGTGAGTTCTCGCTATGTTGCCTAGGTTGGTCTCAAACTCCTGGCCTCGTGTCTCAGCCTCCCTAATTGCTGGGATTGCAGGTGTGAGCCACCATGTCCAGCCACATAATCTTTATTTTAAGGATGACATGGCCCACTAGGTACAGAATCAGCCTGGGATAGTATCTCCTGATTTCTGAGCATTTTTTTCTCTTTTGTAATCTTCTTCCTTCTCTCTTGGGATTTAAACAGAAGATTAGAGATTCTTTCTTTAATTAAAGTGCTTCCTGCCAGCCTTTTCTAGCTAAGGAAAATTGAAAGTCCAAGACAGTAATGTGCAATTGCTCTTCTATTAGTTGTGTCCTGTGTGGAAGGGTCTAGCATTTGTGTAGAATTTCAGCTCCTGCCTTTACAGTGGAAGTAACATAAAACCACAGAACATGTAAAAATGTTTTCCTTACATAGACATATTCCTATTTATGATTTGCTATGCTACCTTTAACAATTAATGAGTAATATTGTTGCATGTGATAGACTGGCCTTGACTTTCTCTTGGGGCCACCACTTACCCTCTTTTCCAGTCTCTCCCCTGCCTCCTCCTCTTCTCTTCCCACTGTGCAGCAGACAGGTGGAAATGGCAATCTGCTTGCCATTCCATGCCCATCCCGAGCCTATACTCCCCCACTTCACATAGACTGTGCAGTTCCCCATCATCCTGTAAGACCAGCTTCCAGGGCCTCCGGTACCTTCTGCAGGGGTTGTCAGCATTATGACCAGAGTCGGTCTCTTCTGCCACTTCCTGCCCTGAGATTTCATTCACTAATATGCTGTTTGTTTATAAGTCAGTATTTATAACTAGAATAAGAGCAACTCTGCTGACAGTGGTGGGAAACTATGGGGGGGAGGGGAAGGGAGATGGGATTAATGGTAGTAAGTATCTGTCTGGGGATGGGGAGACACCTCTTATCAATAAGGGTGCCTGAATGAAGCATATTTGTATACCTAACCCTTAACTGTACCCCACAATATCATAATAAAAAATATTGATTAAAAAAAAGAGTAACTCTGGGATTGCATCTGTCTCATTAATTTCGGTATCATCTGCACGACATCTGCCACTGAAAAGATATTTGTTGTTTCTCATCTCACTGACTTAGGAGAAAGTCTAGATCTGATAGATTCTGGCTTTGTTTCAGGTCTTTCTGTCTGAGTGGAAGGAGCACAAAGTTGCTGTCTCACGGCTCACCAGTCTGGAGATGAAAGATGATTTCCTCCATGGACTGCAGATGCTGAAATCTCTACAAAGCAAACATGTTGTCACACTGCTTGGCTACTGTGAAGAGGACAGCACAATTCTTACTGAGTATCACCCTTTAGGTTCCTTGGGCAACCTGGGAGAAACACTAAACTTTTTGAAGTACCGGAATGTGAACACGTGGCAGCACAGGCTGCGCCTGGCCATGGACTACGTCAGCATCATTAACTTCCTGCACCACAGCCCCCTGGGCACGCTGGTCATGTGCGACTCCAGTGAACTGCCCAAGGCGCTGTCCCAGTATCTGCTAACGAGCAACTTCAGCATCGTGGCAAATGACTTGGACGCTTTGCCCCTGGTGAACCGCAGCTCTGGGATGCTGGTGAAGTGTGGCCACAGGGAACTGCATGGGGACTTTGTGGCTCCAGAGCAACTGTGGCCCTATGGAGAGGACGTACCTTTTCGTGACGATCTCATGCCCCCATACGACGAGAAGATCGACATCTGGAAGATTCCAGACATCTCCAGTTTCCTTCTAGGGCATGTTGAGGGGAGTGATATGGTTCGATTCCATTTGTTTGATATTCATAAGGCATGTAAAAGCCAGACACCTGCAGAAAGACCCACTGCTCAGGACATTCTGGACACTTATCAGAAGGTCTTGCACTCACTCAGGGATACTGTGACATCTCAGACAAGAGAAATGCTATAAAACCAGTCAGTCACTGCAGGATGGAACTTAAGGGTGTAATAGGAGTAACAGTAGTGCTACTCTGATGGTGGAGTTTTCTTGTCTGAGTCCATTTCATTGTTTTACTGTGTATCCATGCATTTCTTTCTCTACATTCATATGCACATTTGAGATGTTCTGCTTCTCCTGGCAACCTGGGTGGAAGTTACTAAGTAGGAGTAAACCAGGCCTGATTTAAATCTGTCTCCCCTACCTTTTTTTTTTTTTTGAGTCAGATTCTCACTCTGTCACCCAGGCTGGAGTGCAGTGGCACGCTCACGGCTGCCACAGCCTCGATCTTCTGGGCTCAGGCAATCCTTCCACCTCAGCCTTCCAAGTATCTGGGACTATAGGCTGCACCACCATGCCCAGCTAATTTTTTTAAGTTTATTGTATAGATGAGGTCTCACCAAGTTGCCCAGACTGGTCTTGAACTCATGGGCTCAGGTATTCCTCTCACCTTGGCCTCCCAAAGTCCTGGAATTATAGGCGTGAACCACCACTTGGGCCTGACTTCCCCTTTCTTTTATTCTTTTTTTTTTTTTTGAGGTGGAGTCTCACTCTGTCGCCCAGACTGGAGTGCAGTCTGCAGCCTCGACCTGCTGGGCTCCGGCGATCCTTCCGCCTCAGCCTTCCAAGTAACCAGAATTACAGGCATGCGCTACCAAACCTGGCTGATTTTTTGATTTATTGTAGAGATGAGGTCTCGCTTCCCAGGCGGGTCTCGAACCCGTGGGCTCAGGCAATCCACTCACCTCAGCCTCCCAAAGGTGCGGGATTACAGGCTGAGCCACGGAGCCGGTTGACTTCCCCTTTCTAATGCTGATTAATTCCTGGTGAATATGCAGAAAAGCAGTGAGCCTAGCCTGTATTTGAAGGAAGTAACAAAAATGTAGCCACAAAGAGACTGCCCCACCCTAGTAACTGAGTTTATAAACTTGTATGCCATCTATATAGAGAAGATTTTTAAATGATGGTGTATGGAAAAAATATATAGTACTTCAAAGATCATTTTCTCTCCTAATTTTTAAAATGTAGGGCTCCAATCAAAAGGATGGACACTACCAAATTATTGGTGAGAATGTAGAGAAATTGGAACTTTCTTTTTTATTTTATTTTTGATTATAAAGATGTGTGGTACAATTCAGGGTTAGGTATACAGACATTGATTATGCAGGTACCCTTGTTGATGAGGTGTGGCACTCCCTCCCCTAGCAGTTTCCCTCAACTGCCAATCCCACTCCCAGTCCCCTGACAGTTTCCCACTACTGCCAATCCCATTCTTATAGTATTATCATTGTTCAAGGTCCGCTTATGAGTGAGAATATATGTTACTCTGTTCTTTGTTTCTGTGATAGATCACTGAGTATGATCGACTCTAAATCCATCCAAGTTGCTGCAAAGCCCATATGTTTGTCCTTCTTTATGGCTGCATAATATTCCATTGTGTATATGTACCATATTTTTTTAATCCAGTACAGCTTCAATGGGCAACATGGTTGGTTCCATGTTTTTGCTGTTGTGAATATAGCTGCAACAAACATACGTGTGCAGGTATCTTTCTTGTAGAATGATTTGAGTTCCTCCGGGTATATTCCCAATAGAGGAATTGCTGGGTCATATGGAAGGTCAATTTCTAGTTCTTTCAGAAACTGTCACATTGTCTTCCAAAGAGATTGCACTAGTTTACATTCCCACCAGCAGTGTAGAAGTGTTCCTTTTTCTCTGTATCCTCGCCAGCATCTGTTGTTGTTGAGAAATTGGAACTTTCATACACTGCTTGTGGGAACGTATAATTGTACAACCACTTAGGAAAACAGTCTGGCAGTTACTCAAAAAGTTAAAAATAGAGTTAACATATGATCCAGCAATTGTCCCTCATGTATAACCAAGAGAACTGAAAACAAATGTCCACACAAAACATATGTCCACATTGTATATACGTGTTCATGGTAGCATTACTCATAATAGGCAAATGGTAAAGATAACCCAAATGTTTTTATCAACCAATGAATAGATGAACAAAATGTGGGATTCATCCTTAAAAAGGGTGATACATGAAGTGCTGATGCATGCTACAACATGGATGAACCTTGAAAACATGCTAAGTGAAAGAAGCTAATCACAAAAGATTACATATTATACAATTCCTTTCATATAAAATGTCCAGAATGGGAAGATCCATAGAAATAGGTTAGTGTTTGCTAGGGCCTGGCAGGGCTTTGAGGTTGAGGGATGGGAAGTGACTACAGATGGGTACAGGGTTTCTTTTTGGTATGATAAGAATGTTCTGAAATTATATAACGGTAATGGTTGTATAACTGTGATTACAAGTACAGTCAAATTGTATAAAAAGGAAAAAATTTGTGGTATGTGAATTATATCTTAATAAAACATTTAAAAAAAAATTCTGCCACTAGGCTGTGTTCCTTAAACTTGATATTAGAGTTATTATGTGGAGTTTCTGTTTTGGCATTGTCCTATTCATGTTAGAATTCTGGTTTTAGGGTTTTTCTTAGCATTTGGATTTTGCATTGGATCAAAATGGTCAGTTTGAAACTAATTTGTTTTTAAATATTGACAACACAGCTAAAATCAACAGCACAGTGCAGGGGAGAGGACACTACCAGAATCAGAAGACTTGAGTTATTATAATCCCAGCTCTGTTGCCAATTGTGTGGCCTCACACGGAGCAAATTTCTAAAGGAGAAAGTTAATAGAAGTAATGTCTGAGGTTTGCTGTGCCTCTCTGAGGCTTTATGATGCCAGAACCAGACAACAAATGGGATCTTTGCCTGTCAGGGTTCAATCTGCAACTTGTGCTGAGACGTAATTCAGTACCTGCAGGACTGCAAGCATCAGATGTTACTCTGTTCAGAACCTAGGTTGAGAATTCACTGCTCACATAACTTGCTGCCTCACGTACAGCAGAAACATCATTGAATGAGACAGTGAGCTGAGCCATTCTTTGTGCTGCCAAGCTCCCGGTGCTCCCTCACTGCCTGCCTTACTCCAAGTGTTTAAAAAAGTCATCAATGTATGGTTTGTTTTGTTTTTTTGAGAGTCTCACTCTGTCACCCAGGCTGGAGGGCAGTGGCACAACCTACTGGACTCAGGCGATCCTTCCTCCTCAGTCTTCCAAGTACGCTGGAACTACAGGCATGCGCCATCATGCCTGGCTAATTTTTTGATTTATTGTAGAGATGAGGTTTCACCAAGTTGCCCAGGCTAGTCTCAAGCCCATGGACTCAGGCAATCCTTTCATCTCGGCCTCCCAAAGTGCTGGGATTATAGGCAGGAGCCATTATGACCAGCCCAATGTATGGTTTTTAGTGTGCTTTCTCATTTCATGTGATGCTTTAAACACTTCAAGTATCTGGGAACCTCTGATGATTGTTAATCATTCAGCAGAGGCAAATACCTGGCAGTTTGTAAAGTGGGGCACGTGTAGGGACGGCAGTGGGGTAGGGGATTGTCTCCGCAGCTTTCCTTAGAAAGGTCCTTCATATATTCCCCATATGTTTTAAAAATAAACTGGGCTTGGCCGGGCTTGGTGGCTCAGCCTGTAATGCCAGCACTTTGGGAGGCCGAGGCAAGTGGATTGCCCAAGCCCGCGGGTTCGAGACCCGCCTGGGCAACTTGACGAGACCTCATCTCTACAATAAATCAAAAACTAGCCAGGCGTGGTAGCGCGCGCCTGTAGTTCTACCAACTTGGAAGGCTGAGGCGGAAGGATCGCCGGAGCCCAGCAGGTCAAGGCTGCGGTGGCTGTGAGCATGCCACTGTACTCCAGTCTGGGTGACAGAGTGAGACTCCAACTCAAAAATAAAATAAAATAAAATAAATAAACTGGGTTCATTTTTAGTAACCACTATTGTCATAGGAACTTTGACCACTTAAGAGTAATTTTTGACTCAAGTCTGTAATCCCAGCACTTTGGGAGGCCGAGGTGAAAGGATTAGGCCTTCAGCAGGTCACTCCAATTGATGTTCCACAGTGGGCTTTTTCAGGAGTATTTAGATTACTTAAGGACTGGTAACTACAGAGTTGTGTCAGGATTCTTTCCATCACTACCGGGCAATATAGTTCTAATTTTTTTTTTTGAGTTGGAGTCTCACTCTGTCGCCCAGACTGGAGTGCAGTGGCCGCTCCCTGCCACTGCAGCCTCCACCTGCTGGGCTCCGGCAATCCTTCTGCCTCAGCCTTCCGAGTAGCAGGAATTACAGGCGCGCGCTACCACGCCCGGCTAATTTTTTTGATTTATTGTAGAGATGAGGTCTCGCCTGCCCAGGCGGGTCTCGAACCCGCGGGCTCAGGCAATCCACTCACCTCAGCCTCCCAAAGGTGCGGGATTACAGGCTGAGCCACTGAGCCCGGCTAGTTCTAATTTTTAAGTGAGGTGAATATAGTACCTTGATCATAAAATGTAGGCATCTAATATGTATTATAATCCACATTAAACAATGCTTTATTCTTTAAAACTAAGTACATTGACTTTTTTTGTAGATTATTTAAAATTTCTAGAGGGACACAGCAGAGTCCTATCATACCCTTAGAAAGCAAGACTGTTGGTTTTATCATGTTTATCTAGTTAAACATGAGAGATGGAACATATACATTTCTCCCTTCTGAAACAAATTAAAATGTCAATAAAGAAATAAACAGGTGTAAACCATAAGGACAAAAAAACATCGAGGGAAATAAACAGTAAAAAGAAAACTCAACAAAATTTTGCAATATGTAAAGTAGATGGAGTAATGTGGCCAGGCAAAGAAAACAAACTTCCTGAGTCAGGGAAGGCCACCAAGGAGCAACACCATCTGTGCCTCAGGACCCTGGCTAGGCTCTGAAGTTAGAGACACCAAGTTCCTTGGCAGGTGGGAGTAAGAAAGGCACTCAAAGTCATAAGAGTTGACTGAAATTTGCTATAAGGACCAGCAGAGCATCTTCCTTGTCAAAACTACACTGGGAATTATAAAGGAGAGAATGCTTTAAAAATTC